TTCTTCTTCATACAGTTATGATCCTCATTAAGAGTGTCATAATAGCCTGGATTAGGTTGGCTGATGCACTTTCCTGTGTAACTAGCAAATATGATTCCTTAAATCCCAAGCTCTCTATGTATTTTTTTTGTTCTTATCTTTATAGGAGGAATGGCAAAGAGGATTAAAAGCACTGAGGTTGATACTGTAAGTAATTAAGAAGGCCCTGCCAGAGCTAGAAAAAGAGGTAGAAAATTCTGAACTGCTTTATACCTGAGGTTAATTGACTTGCTTCTTGTGTATGATTTATTTTGGAAATGTCTGCAAAAGTGATGAGTTTTCTTTTTATATTATAAATAGGTCAGGAGACCATCAAACTTCGAGGTTTCTATTCGTATTCATTCTGCTATTGCCTGACAGGTATTATGATAATATTGTGGCATGTAGCTTGGATGTCTGTACACTGACTCTTTTTTCCTGATTGCACTCCTACCTAGTTTTTAATTCACGGTTGCTCCTACTTTCTTGAATTCACGGTTGCAGAGGAGAAACAAAAGAGTATTGATATAGAAAGCATATGTCAACTGCTGGATCTTGTTTTAGGATCCCAATTCCGTGCACAGGTTGACTATTTTATTGAGTATTTGAAGGTGTGTGCGACTTATTGCATTTGACCTCTGGGGTTGTAGTTCTTCTGCTTATTCTATTCATTTCCTTCATGTTTCTGTTTATACAGGCACAAAGTCTTACGTTGTATGGGGTGATGTCATTTCAGTTTTAGCTGCTAGGGTTGTGTGTGTGTTAAAATCGTTAAATCATTATTAGATTGGGGCACATAATTATATTTATACCGATGGAATCTTCAAATATTCTTAGAAAATAGGGTTATCTGATTTAAAATGTTTATCTCTTAGAAAATAAACTAGATTACAGAGGAAATTTGCCCGTTGTCATTGTGAGGCTATAATTCTAACACCCTTCTATCCAAACTAAAAAAAATAAAACAATGAAAAAGAGCCTCAGACGATGCTTGTTTCTAATTAGATTCAGAGCGATTATAAGGTCATCTTGGATCAATGGATGGCTTTTTTCGATTCTGCAATGAGGTACGTTAATTTAATTCTTGTCATGGAAATTTCTATTGTTTTCCCAAGTTTAGATGCTCCATCATTCAAAATAGAGTCGGTGAATGATTTTAAATTTCACAGGTCATGCTCACAGAAATCAATTTTTTTTATTTTTAAGAGAATCTTGGATAACTTATAGAATTATACTAGTGTCTTTTTATGACATTCTTACTAGTTTATGAAGACATAATAGCAATTGGTAGCGGTGTAGCAGAATCCCCATAGCATATTGTAGAATAATAGAGAGGACTGAAGAGGTGCCCTCCCTTCTTGCAGGTTGTGATTATAATCGAATCCTTGCTCATGAGTTTTAATGTTTTATTGTTCTTTTTGTCTTTTCATTTTCCTTTATCCACTTTTTGTTATTATCTTCATTCATTGCTAAAACTATGTATTTTTGGCTGGAACTGATTTATAAATTTCTTGGTTTATTTTCTCGCAAATATAGAACAATAATACAAATCAACTTTCTTTAGCATAAGAATTGAAACTATATAAATGGTAGGAAATTGTCAATCTTTGCTGTTCAATGAATGATAATTATACTTTTTCTATTATTTATCATCGGATAGGACAGAGAACTAGAAATAAAGGGGATGCAATATTGTAGTTCTAATGAAAACATAATTCTTACCTGCATCCTTGCAATATTATTTGACATGATGACACAGTTACCAGTAATTTGTCTTGTTTGAGATCCTCCTTATGTTAATAATTGAGCAAGTGCTTGCATTTTCCCATTTTTGATATGAGCAGATAAATTTCCCGGACCTCGGTAATTATAATCCAGACCTTGCTTGGCCGTTGATCCTGGACAACTTTGTAGAATGGGTGCAGGCGAAGCAGAGCTAAACTCTAATTAGCTTTGCTCAACTTGATTCTCAGATATGAACTCCATTTGGTATTAAAACACGTTCTTTCTAAAGTTTAGACCTCCTTTCTTTGATCCCTTTTTCTAGAGCCTTTTATGTTTTTTTTTCTTTTCTTCTTTTTTTGTGTATGTTGGTTGGGGGGGGGGGGAGGTGGAAGTGTCTAAGCTTGCCATTATTTAATAAGATATTATTGTGAATAATATGTTGTCAGGAATGTTCGAGTTGCAGAACCATGTTTCATCAGCTGGTCTTTTATATCAAAACATGAAGGTCTTCCCCAGAATATACCTTCCAAAATTATTTTCATGTCACAAATATGTAGAAGACAATCTCAATATATTGAATTGTATTTCTGTCTTGATATTCAAAACTATTGGCTTATGATGTTATAATATGAACAAAATTATTTATCAGATTAAAAAGATGTTAGGTGTGATTTTTATTCTGATTTATCTCATTTTTATCAATTCAGTCACGTTTTTCCAAGAAGGTAATGCATTTCTTGCATAGAATTACATTGCGGAACTAGCAACTAGTTGCTACATGCCAAAATCTTCCTGCAACTGGTTCCACTGTCTCCCCAGTCTGTTTTGACAGGTATTGGCTTCATTATTAGCACGCGAGCTGATGATGCCAAGCACCTCCAACCATTGAGGTTCAAGGATGATTCTTAAAGGATGGATTGTAGCAACAGTTTTCTCATTATCACATCAACCATCCCTTCTTTAAAAAGTTGATTCATCGACCAAATTGGTAATATTTCTTTCATACAACTCTTTAAAGATTTTTACTCAAAAAAAAAAACTCTTTAAAGATCAACCGTTGTCTGTCATAGACACTACTCTTTACGTTCCTATATTGGACTGTTGTTCGCAACCAGCATTTTAAAGTTAAAAATAACTTCCTAAAGACACCACCAAACAATCTGGTGAACGTCAGGTTTGGTATGTTTCACACTAAGTAAATTTTATCAATGAAATGTACCTTTCCTAGTGTCAATTGGATCAGCCCTGCCAATTCATTGCATGAAACAACACTATGTAAATTTTATCAATGAAATGTACCTTTCCTAGTGTCAATTGGATCAGCCCTGCCAATTCATTGCATGAAACATGTCTGATGGAAACAGCCCTGCCTCGCATGCTTATGCCTTGATGGTTACATATCATGCTTGTGAAAAGGACTTGAAAGTTGTCGTGGATGATCAAACTTCAGGTAACCCATTTTGGAGCATATGATTTGGAGTTAACCAGTGCATAAATTGGATGGTTTTCCTTGTGCCCATATGTCTGCTTATGTCCATTCACTTTATGACAAGTGTGGTCATTCCAGTAGGAGTTAGATCTGATGGTCTCCTTGTGCTGGAATGCCTGCCATATATTTGTTTCTGATGACTGCTTGCTGTTCAATTGAAAAGAAATGGGGGACATTTTTTTGGAGGATTTGAGTGGTTGGACTTTTGTAATGGTGCATTTTCTTCTGGGACAACTAACAAAAACAATCAAGCAGAAATCAAACTGTGAAAAAAGTATGTCAAACCCAGGTTTAGTCAGGTTGTTAATTATTCTCAAGAGATGGGCATCCGAAAAACCGAGACTTTCAACTCCACTCTTAGCATTTGATATCCTTTATTGTCCGGCAGTTTTAGTCTTGGCTCTCATTAAGGGTAGTGCTTCTGAAGTAAAATAGTTAACGTAAAAGTATAACATATATTCAATTAACCCCACAAAAAAAGTTTTTTTTGGGGGTTGTCATTATTAAATATCTTAAAAGAGGCAACATGATAATTTACATGTATTCTTGTCTTAAAAGCCATTTGGTAAATAAAAAATAATAATGTAAAAACCACTTTTAGCAAGGAAGTGCTTTGACATTTTAATTCATCAAGGTCTTATGCAGGTAATAGTTAACTAATATGATCTTAAGAACAGAGGGTTAATGTTAGGGCATCAGGACAGAAAATTATGCGGGACCCAAATTGTTATTTGGCAATGCCTCTATGGGTTTTCTTTAATTTTGCTTTCAGAATTTTGTAACTGAATTGCAATAAAGTATTTCTAACTGTAAAGATGAAAAAAGGTGATATTAGTAAATAAAGAATGAGCAGATAATGTGCCAGGTGCCAATTTCATGATTGGCACTTTAGAAGGATGACACCATGCAAGAATCTTTAAATGACATTTAAAGTAAACAATTTCATGTACATTTTTAAAACAGTATTTGGTGACATAAATTGAGTGGCTTAAGGTTAGCAGTCAGGAATGAAAAATCAATGTATTCTTGAAATACAACATGGATCATGTCCTCATGGGATGTATATCAAATGATTGAGAGAACTGAACTTCGCTAGCATAGCCCTTGGTTTGGGTTTAGGGTCAAAAAAGGAGTGAAAATGACAAAAGAAAAAGTGAAAAAGCGACAGCAATGGATTGAAAAAGAAGATTAGATGCTCCCCTGTTTTGGGTATGGATGAATAGTGCATCCAATAATTGAACGAGCGAATTACAATCCACAAATGAGAAGCAAAGGTAGAAAAAGAAAGTTGAACAGTCCAAAAATAATAGTAAAAGAAGAGTATTGCATACCCATGTTAGAAAAATCATATTTCTAAAGCGATATAATACATAGACTTTGAAATAAAAGATATTAAAAAAGAGTAAAAGTAACAACTCGTAAATAATCTAAATGGAGGTTTCGATTCGTTCCCCCCCCCTAATGGGTAACATATAAAAACTAAAATTTGAGTTTATTGACTTGACCTTCGTCATAGGGTAAATATTGCATTGACTTTTTTTTATTATTATTATTACAGACGCTTATTTTAGTTACTTATACTAAAAGTTCTAAGGGAAGAACTCGAATCTCGAATCTTATCATTTTCTAAAAAGGTTAAATGGGAAACATCTGGCCTTAATTGTTACATCGATTTACTACAAGGATATGACATTATTACACTAATTAATCTTTTTTTTTAAGAAAAAGGAAGGTTCTTTGAACAATAATAAAAAAAAGAACATCAGTCACTAAATTCAAACAGGCACAAACCATTGATAAAAGTTGATGACTTACAAATGTACAGATTTCATGCCTGCAAAACTTCCCCATGTTAGACTCATAAATCCACCAAGAACAATAATGCAAAGGGAAAGAGAGAAAGAAAACCAATGGTTTGCTTTGCTTTTTTGCCTCTCTTCTGAGGATTTGGCTCAATAAAATTGTCCCAGATATTGATGATCATCAATTAAGATGGTCTATCTGCTTTCAAAAGAAGATTAAAAAATCAATCAAGATGATGAAGGGCCAAGAATCAGTGGTGAAGAAGGGGGAAGTGAGCGTCTGCTCCGGCTTCTTCCCCGAGTTTGAGATTGAGTGATCGAAGGCGATGAGTTCGAAGAAGAGGTCGAAGACGACGTGAATCTGTTGGAATCGTTTGTCAATTTCTTCTTTTCTCCTTCACAAGATTTGTCTTCGATTCTGTGATGCCTAACTTTGGTAGCATTTAAGGTCACCGGAAGAACACAGTTGCAGAAGAAGCCTACAAATCAAAAACTAAAGTCAAATTCTGAAAACCGAAATCAAAATGAACATATTCCGGTATAGGATATGATCCCCCTAAGGTACATGTGTTACAAAACTAATCTTATAGATGTGACTTAATCCGAATAACATAAGTCTAAAGCATTGACTCAATTCTTCCGTTGTTGACACCTTCAACCATTATATATCCTACCCAGGAATGAAATCAGTTTCCATGGCGACTTAAAACAGAAAAATTGATTGAAAATATAATACGTTTTCACAAGAAATAAACAGCGGAGGTGGCTTAGTCTTACCGATTCTAGCAAGGCGATTGACCCAGCTTGGGATTGGATTCCCAGTCAACCTGATGCAAGCATCATTGCAGAAATGGTTGCAGTTTTTGGTGATCAAATTGTAAGCATTTCCTTTGTATTCCTCAGCTAAATCCTCCATAATTCCCCTCACATCCATAGGACCCAACTCTGTTTTCCCTATCAAGATTGATTTCCTAAAGCTGAACCCTTCGCATTGTTTTGGTTCTGCCTCAAATATCCCTGTTGTGGGGTATTCGTGAGCCCCAAAAGCATATTCAATCCCATGAACTGCTACCCCAAAAGAAAACCCACAAGTCAGCTGATTAAAAACAAATACTCGCAGGAAACCATTTCTACAAGCTCACTTCAGCTAAGGTTTCCAGCTGTTTTTTCCCCCTCCTTGGATCTAAAAAAACACATCTAAGGAATCCAAAGGTTTAGCAAAAACAAAAACACTCAACCCATAGATCTAGCTTCCAAACCGGGAAGCAGAGACCGTTACCTAAAAAAAGTTGGAATTTTTGTTTAAAGAAGGAAAGTTGATTGTTGAAAGTTGATAGTAGTAAATTGGGTAAGAAAACTGACCTTGAACACCAGAATGATAAACCCCAAGTCCGAACCAATAAGCATAGCCATTCATTGGCGTTAGATCGTACACATTCAGATACACTGGTACAGATCCTGTTTCCACGCAGCTCGAATTTTTACGACACAGCATTTTTTTCTCAGGGGTGAAAATTGTTCTAAGGCCCTTTTTTTAATGACAATGATAGTCGTTTGTTTAATGAAGAAGATTGCTGATATAATATAAGACGAGAAACGAGTTTTTTTTTTTTTAATAAATATGGTTTTTGCTCTTTTAATTTTTGAAATATGGTGAAGTCGGGAATAAGAATCTTCTGATGGTGGGCATCATCGGCGGCAGACCCCCAATTTCTTTATTTTATTTTATTTTTCAATTCTTTGTAAAGGTTAATGTATTTAATTTTACGGCCAAATCATAAAAAAAACGGATGAATCTGAACTATAGTTTTTTATCTGAATTGAAGTGTTACTTTATGAATTATGATTGCACTGTTTAATTTTTTTTGAAATAATTAAATTTAATTTTTTTATAAGGATTAAAATGTAATTTCATTATATATTCATTTATATTTTTTTTATATAAAGTCGTCAGTTTTTAAAAATAGAAAATATTCAAAATTACAATGAAGATTTACAAATAATCGTAAACATGCATTTTTCCATTACTATTAAGATAAAAACTAGTCACCTAAATCACATAAGAATCGGTTTTCAGAACCGGACCGGTTAGCGAACCGGTCATGCTACCGGTTCATTGGTTCAACCGGTCGAACCGGTCCGACCGGTCGAAAGAACCGGACGACGTCATAATTATTTAAAAAATTAAATAAAAATACCAAAAATATTTAATAAAAAATAATTTTTTATATCACAAGTCATATTCAAAGTAAGTCATAATATATAAGTTAAAAACCATAAAATCAAGTGAAACAAAATGATTTAAATTAACTACAACATAATATTTAAGGTAAAACATATTAAATAATAAATATAATATATAACTATATTTAAAAATAAATTTGGGGTTAAAAAAATCATAACAAAATTATATAACTATAATTATATAACTATTCTTTCACTTCAATCAAGCTCGAATTTTAGGCTTCAATCGAGCTTCTAATTTTTTTTGAGTTCAAGTCTTTTTGAGTTGAAGTTTCAATATTATATTTCGAGTTTGAGTTGAACTTGCTTGTGAGTTTGAGTTGAGTTGAGCTTACTTTTAAAGTTTTCAAGTTCGAGTCGAGCTCAGCAATACTCGAGTTCGACTTGACTCGTTTAACAAATGACGTTGTTTGGTTTAATTTTTTTTTAAAAAAAAAAACAAAAATCCCGGTTTTTCCCGGTTTTTTTCGGTTTTCAGCCGGTCCGGTTTGAACGGTTCAGCGGTTCTGGCCGGTTCACTAATAGCGGTTCAACCGGTTTAGATTGAACCGAACTAAGCAACGGTTCTCGGTTGAACCGGTTGAACCGGCCGGTCCGGTCCGGTTTTTAAAACAGAGATTGACGTGAGAAAACTATCCATGAACGCAAAAACGCGTATCCAAATCCTTCTGAGGGTCAAAAGCAGGGAAGATCACCATGATAACAAATAAGCGCCATCTTGATCAGTCGTGACGATATCAAATCCAAGCATGAGAAAAAAAGATAAACGAAAACAACAGCAAAAAACGATAAACAATGGCAAAAAACTGTAAGTTACCAAAAAGTAGAAAAAAACATGCCACAAAAGCCGAGATAATTATGTCATAAAGACAGAGAACATGTCACAAAGACATAATTATTCTTATTAAAAAAAATAATCGACAAACGACAACCAGTATTAAAATCGATGTTGCCATTGATTAAACAAAATTAAAAAAAAAGATTAATCAATAAAATTGACACAAATTATAAATAAAAAAAATGAGGATGAAGAAAACTACTAGGTTTTTTTTATTAAAAATACTGGAAAAACATTTGAAACATATATATAATTACTTTAATAAAAATAGTCAATGAATAATAGGAATTGGAGTTTAGAAAAATAACGAGGATTACCATTGTGTGCCTTGTTTAAGTATTCCGAAACTCCATTTTTATTTTTATTCTTTGTAGAAAGTAACTCATTACGTTACATGGGCAAATGCGTTTATCTTTCCCTTTTCGAAAATTTATTTGAAAGATTTTTTTATTAAATTAGCACGATTATAAATGCAAATATTTTTTAAAATATCTTAACCATTTGATAATAAACGTTCAAATATTTTATAGTTTTTGGTAATGGTGGATCTAGAATTTTTGTTTAGAGTGGGCACATATGTATTAGTAATATAATTTTTTTGATACGATAAAATTTTAGAGTAGACACATATATTAATGAATAAAATTTTGAATTTTAAAGAAGAAAATTCAAATCCTAATAAATTTCAGGGTGGGCATGAGCCCGCCTTAACCTAAATGTTCATCTCCCACTAGTTGTTGTGTTTAAAATCGAAATCTCTAGAATAACAATCATCCTTTAACATTTGGTTTTTAAAAGGAATTTAGTTTTTTATTATTAGATTTAATAGGATTATACATATTTTTGGACTGCGCAAAAAATCATTTATCAATTTCAGCCCTCAGATAAATTAAAAAAAAGAAGCAATAATATATAATAAATGAACTCTAAAATACCATTTACTTGTTTTTTAATCATCAATTTATTATGTAGGGATATGGAAGGGATCCTACACATAGTCATTGTATAACCCAAAATATATTAATATTTTTAAAAAACAATATTTAATTTGATCACATGAAAATATATTATATAATTGGAGAGTAAGGGAATTTAAATAGCTATTAAAATAAAATTCAATACTTATTTATTTTGTTATTAAAAAAATTTATATTGACACCCGTTCTGATTTAATTCCGAAGAATATGAATAAATTCCTAGTTCACTTTAATGCTCAAGTGAAAACCCTTTGTGATAGAGGTATTGAATTTTGATCCCCTTTCTCTCTATTTCCACAACTTATTTTCCTTTATTTTTGTGTAATCACTTTATATATAAAAGTCTAATTGAATATTAACACATTATTGGATTGAGCAACGTACTATGCTTTTCGAGAAGCCCATCTCCAAAAACCCTGACGCACATCAATAATCCCTCGTCAACTTATTGAATCCCGTCAGTATTAACATTGCATCAGTCCACAAGAGGCAGACACTATTTTACGGTTATGACTACAAATGAAATAAGATAGATCACGAGTTATATAAATTTTAGTCAATCAAAATTCGATTAATATTTCAATTAGATGGATTCGATTCAATTTTTGAATTAGTCAAGGCAAACTACTTTGTATTTGATTCAAAAATTTTGTGATTGATTTGAAAAATATATATATTTTTTTTTTAAATTAAATTATCAATAATATTAACATTTATATGTTATTAAAATACAATATAAAGTTTTCATATACTTTGTTCATGTTAGAGCTCGAATTCAAGTTTCAAAAGAACTAAGTTTGAGAATGTTTAGAGTTCATGGTTTTTAGCTCGAACTGAGCTTCAAATTTTATTTCGAATTAGAGTCAATTTTGACAATTTTAAGCTCACAAACTTTTGGGTCGAGTCGATTCAAACTTAACTTTAAACTTTTTGACTCGATTCATGTACATCCCTACACAAACGACCTGAAATCTATTTAATAATTATCAACTTTTTCTTTGGGGTAGTTATTAATTACATTATCATTTTTTTTGAAAGATTGTGCATGATTTTAAACAAGTATTGACTTTCTTCTTCCATGTTCAATAGTTATAATCTTTTGATTTAAATAGTTATTTTGTCAACAAAAACTTAAAACTTGTATGCCTTTTATATATGCATATATATACAACACAAAGAGAAGGGAATTGAGGCATTAGATCAGATATATGTTAATATGATTAAGTACAATATGTAGAACTCAACGTTTACTTAGTTAGTTCATATAAATACACGTTATTTCATTTATACCGCATATGATCAGTGGTGGATATAGATTTTGGTCGGAGTGGGCACGTTGGTTGTTCATTTTATTAATGATATACCTTAAAATTCTACTTGTCTTTATCCCATACTAAAAATTTATGTTATTAATATATATGTGCTTACCCTTTTTTTGGATCTATCATTGAGTATAAAAAAATCTAATTTATAATATAAAAAATATATAAAAACATTTTGATTTGGGAAATAAAATTATATCTACTAAAACCACATTAACATGAAAGAAAATTGTGTTATATGCAATTACGAAAATGTTAAATTAATTGAAAGATCATTTAAAAATATTTAAATTTATGAAAATGGATTAATATATAAATATTTTTTAAGAAAGAAAATAATTCAATCATCGTCTCAATTAAAACGGTATTTTTTTTATATATTTTTAAGGGCTATAACACACTAATAAGATCAAAAGAAAAACAAAACTCGGCATTGAGGATGGTAAATGAGTGGGGCGGGTGTGAATATTCTTTCCTTTATTCTCATATTTATTTAATATTTTTGTATTCACTATTTACTTACTATCCACGACAAGTAAATTTTTTAAATCTACATTGTCCACGCGAGTATATTCTCAAATCTACTTCCACACCCAACACTTATCTCATATTTGTCTGTATCTGTTTATATTCATCCAGATACGTCTGACAGCAGCCTCACAAATTACATAAACAACAAAATATAAAACAAATACATTCATTAAAAAACATAATAAAATAAACTAAAGATTAATAAAGTTTATGCCCTAACATGTGGTTAAATTACAAGTAATGTCCTATAAAATCTTGACATTTATATAATGGTATCTGAAATTATACTTAAATTCATCCCCTAATTGGAGCAGATGCAGTACGAAATTCATGAAATTGTACCCGTCTACCATCCCTATTGGCAAAATATTAAATATTAGATAAAACAATAAGCACTTTGAATCCAACATTTTTTTATCAATTTTCATTCACCAAATTATAGTCTTGTTATCAACAACTTGTTGGTCACTAGAATGAGATATTAGATTTTTTAAATAAGGTTAGGAATTCGAATTCCGTCGATTGCATATGAAACAAACTGAGTTGGGATTTGGGAGATTCACCTCATAATAAACCTATGCAAAATCCGATTTTAATTAATCCATCAATAGAATGCATACTTTTCTTTATTTAAAAAAAATACAGTCTCGTTTGCATAAGTGAATCACCTAACACCAGTAATACTAAACTAATAGTAAAAGGTCAAAACTCAATTTATGTCAAACAAGTAAATTAGAGGGAAATCATATACATGTTAATTAAAAAAACAAAAGGTTTGTTTTTAATTATTGCAAGATCTCGTGCTTAAATATTTTCACCTAACCTCGGCGAATCTGCTCTGCGTTTTTCATGCATCATATTCAAACCATTTTCAAGTGTTTCTTAATTCGGAGGCAAAATTCAAACAATAACAAAGTCCAGCACCAGGATTTGACAGTCCATCCGAATTCTACACGTGGTACGATTTTTTAAATATTTTAAAATAAAAAGTGATTTACAAATATTTTTCAAATCAAACTTTTAATGTAAACTTATTTAAATATTACTTAAATATCATTTAATTTTTTTAATATCATATCTAAAATAGATACCTTAATTTTACTATATCCTTTTCGTACAACACCAAACTCATACAATACTTTTTCACAATATTAATTTTAAAAACACTCACAATTTTAATAGTAATGATTACCAAATTTCATGATTAGTGCGACTTTGAGGGTTTCACATGACAATTAAACTGTCATTAACAGTGGGATTTTGCTGCTAGTCTACGACTTGATTGTGGGAAAACCATGTTTTGTACAATAATAATTGATTATCCATCAAATTGATCTGATGGCATATTCACTTGGGTGAGAAAACAAAGTAAATAAGATTTTCCCCATCACTTTGATGTTGGAAAATGATGTCATCGGATTTGAGCATCATAACTAAATTAATAATTTTTATTGTATGAATTTTAATATTATTATATATTTATACATATAATAAGGGATGGGCCTGGAGGGAGCGATCTAAAAATTTAAAATTTTCACATATTTTATATTTTTTCTATGTATTTATATGAAAAATTAGTTTTCATCTCTGAAATTTTATAAGTTTAAATTCGCCCATCCTAGTTTAAAACTTTGCGTCTGTCCCTACATATAATTTAAATTTTACACTCACTTCTACATATTTAATACATTTTCACATTTTTAATATCATATTTAACTGAAAACTAGTTTATCTTTAATTTTTTATTTCTAAGTTGTAACTCAAAATTTGAACAGAAGTCAAATCCCTCCAAATAGAGATAGTGTATTTTTTCAACTGCAAGTTGGTCAAAAATATTGTCATATGTTAGTCACTTTAGTGGAGAGTATATATATATATAAAGTAATCTCACACAATTTTTGAATTCAATGTTTTTGAACCATCATGTTTCCCAAAAATTCAATGACTTGATATAGATGACAGTTGATAGATTATGCAAACTTATACCTTCCCCTTTCATTTCTTAGCTGAAATTTCCATTACTTTTGGTTAAATATAGGACTTTGAATTAGTATGGAAGAAAATTACATTAATGAGACTGGTCTAAATTCAATCCATAAATTAAATGTCAAGATACTCAAATGCAAAGCATGAGAAAGCGGTCTTCAATGGCTAAAGGTGATTCTAGCATAAAACCCTAATCAATTTCTTAAAAAATTATTACACAAATCTTACTCATCAAGTTATCAATAACCCACAACCAATAAATCTTTATAATCTAACATTTAATATTTAAGAGTGAATCTTTTTATTTACAACACTTCGGTTTTTTCTTGAAATAGTAACGTCTTTTATTAAAAAAACAAGTACTATAAATATCTTTAAAATGACGATGGCTAATGACATTGAAATTATATATATATAAGTTTACTTGTTAACCAAGAGTCGTATGTATTGGAATTGAAGAAATGGTGAAACAGGCAAGCTCACAATTCAAGCCCTAAAGTTGAAGAATTGGAAGAAAAAAAAATCCCCTTTTCTTCTTTAACCAAATGCTTTTACAAAATATCCAACTAAAAATCAAAGGGAAAAAAAGAAGGAAGAACGAAACTATAGACTATAGTGTCTATTTGATTAGAGCTTCAAAGACAAGTCAAGCTTCAACTCATCTTTTTTACTATTGAAATGCTTAACAGTATCCCACAAAAATCCTCCGGTTCCCTCCATGGCTGGAAGTACACTGTCCTCGAATCTAACAGTGTCATTACCTCCTCGATTCAAAAGATTCCCTATTGGGCGTGTTCGATCAACGGGCCGTCTAGACCATCCATTACGGCATGGAGCAAAAGATGGCTTGTGGATCATGGAGTGCTCTTGAACTCCAAGTGATTTATAGAAATTAGAGCTATACAGAGGAAGTGAGGCCATGCTATAATATCGTACCGCTGCACCACCTCCAGCAATCCGGTGGCCTCGTTTCGCCAGTGTTCTCTCTCGTTTGTGTGCATTTTGGTGGCCTCCCAGTGCCTGTGCGTTATAAAATTTTCTCTGGCAGTAGTTACATGAAAATGCTTTAGGCTCAGTTTCATTACCTTGATCTTGATCATGATCAGAGGATGAGTCCAACACCTTGAAACAGTCGATGAAATTCAGCTCTTGGCTCGATTCTTGATTGGAGAGGCGCAGATCCAGTACGGGATCATCTTCTTCTTTGTATTGCGGTTGCTTTTCTTCTTCTTTGTGGGTAGTTTCCAATTCCATTGTGGCTCTGAGGATGGAGGGTGAGCCATTCGTGGCTGAGATAATTGTCGAAGTTTCAGAGAGAGAAGGCTCTGATGGTTTTTGAGGCTCCATTTTTGTGTTTGTCATGGGGTTGACGAGGGAAGAAGTAGGTTTAATAGAGAAAGAGATGAACTGTTGTCGATATTTACTTGTAGTAATGCAACCCAGCAATCCAACTCTGAAAACATTTAAGGTTTTGCATCTCAAGTGCCATTGTTTTAGGATTATTATATTATAGTTACAAGTTCGTAATATTGTAAGAGTGAGAAGGAAAAGTTAATTAATACGGTGTATTTTGCCAAAGGCATAATGTCAAAATTAGTACCCAATGTTTATTAAAATGATCATTTTAGCCCCTATACTTTTTAGAGTATTTTGATCCCGATGTTTCATTTTAGGACAAAAATATATCTAATATTTGATAAAATAATCACTTTAGCCCTTATTTTTTAGAGCATTTTGACCCTCAACGTTTCATTTTAAAATAAAAAAAACTCTTATTTTAGAGCTTTGATATTGTGTTAGCTAACGATTTCCATAGATAGACAGGACTTTTGCCCTAAAATGAAATGCAGGGGGTCAAAATACTCCATAAAATAGAATACGAGCCAAAAATGACTATTTTGATAAACGTTATGAACTAATTTTAATATTTATAATGTATTAACAAAAAATATTATTTTAAACCAAATTAATATTAGATCTATAATAATATATTTCAATTACAGATTTCTTACGAATCTTTTGCTATTCAATCTGTCATTGATTTTATTAATTAATATATTTAAATATAATAATTAATCTGTGTAGGATTAGAATCAGGCATGATTTAATGCATTATATATGCTTTTATACAGACCAAAGGTGGGTCAAGAGGGATCATACTAAACCCGCTTACGACCAGCACTAACTATACTTTTTAATATGGAAAACTCAACTCGTCTTTTAAAAAACAAAAGAAAAAAGTTCGGCCCTCTGAATTTGGCCATTAAACCATTTGATATCAACAAGGTAAACAGTTACGGTTGCTTAATAATGATACACCTAATGTGCCAAAAAACAAGGACACTTTATGTTATTAATTAATAAATGCTATCTTATAATATTATTATCTTTAGGTCCCATTTTGCAGTTATATACTGTATCATATTAATTCCGCTATGGTCTATGATGATAAAATAACCTACTACATGAAATTTAATTTAAATTGTTTTTTCAAAATTTTCAAAATATTTATTTTTAATCATGAATTAAAATATGTTTAATTACATTTCAACCAACTCTCATTTATATATTGCAATAACGTCAATTTAATCTGAATTTTATTGGCTAAATTTTGAATTATTATACTAGTATGTAAATAGGCAATGTGATCAAATTGTTAATGGTAAGTAACGACAACGTATACGTAACTTAATAAAAATCAAACATGTTTTAGTACCTAATTACATAAGCATTGTTAGTGTGATCATTAGGCTTAATATATATATATATATATATATATATATATATATATATATATATATATATATATATATATATATATATATAATATAAGGGGAATCTCTACTTAGATGATAATTTAGATAATTCATAATTGATATAAAAATATGAATATTCTTTGATAGTTTACTAACAAACAAACAAACTTAAATTGAGCCAACGAGTGTTAGCACAAGTAGTTGAAATTTAATAATTTGAACTTGTAAGATCAAATTCGAAGCATACTACCGTCACTCTTAATGAGCAATTTATAAATTCCTATATAAATTCTAATTCGATCTTAGATATGTCCTGACCCTAGACTAAGAGAATCATCTTGACCTAAACTCATTTGTAAAAAAAAAAAACTAAAGTGATTAAGAATCTACATAGTTGACGGGAAATTGAAACCGCTTTGGTTGTTTTAGAGGAAGAGTTGTTACTTTAGTTCATTCCCAAAGCAGTATCATTTTTGTTTTGGTGATGCTGACTCACATTAATTAGCCATTTTATAATCACTTGATGTTACTTTACTTATTTATAATGGAACAGAAATAACTCAACCCCTCCTTTATTGATAATAAAAAACATAAACCAACCCTTTAATTTTTCTTTGAATTTTGTATGAAAGCATTTGAAGTCGTAGTAAATTAAATATAAGAGTTGGGTGAAATTTTGTGTAGGAAAACTGAAATCATAAAGACTTATTATTCACTATTAAAATAACATCCACAATCTTCGGTGCTTTAATAATGATATAATTGATCTGCTTAACTTCCACTGTTACCTAGTACGACGGGCCAATTGAAAAAAAGAAGTGTATTTATGAGTCTGTTTATATTTTTCTTATTTTTCAGTATTTGGTTGACGAAAATATATGGTTAATGTAATTCATTTTCTTGGTCAATTGAATTTATTTTATATTTTTTTAAAAATGATTTATCATCTGATTTTTCGTTAGTCATTTTACGAACTTTTCACTTCAAATTATAAACACTCAAAACATTATTTTATATATGTAATATTAATATATTATTTTAATATTATTAAATTGTTGAATATTTAATATATACTCTTTATTATAATATAATATTCTTATTTTAATATTATAATTTTTATTATTTTAATAATAATATTATTAATAATAAATAAATAATATAATTAATAATATATTATTCCCATGTTAATAAATAATTAATATAATTTATAATAATTTTATTTTAAGAAAATATAATAATCATAATATTTTTATTTGTAAGATTGTAGATATATTATTTTAATAGTAATATTGACATAACTAATATTAAATAAATTATTTTAATATTTTAAAAATATTATTATTATTTTATTAATAAATAATATTATTCATTGTGTTTGATGTTTATAATAAATAATTTTTTAAAAGATTTACCAATAAGTAAAAAAGTAAATTATATAATATTATCCAAATATCGTAAAATAATTTTTAATAAAATATTTTTTTCAAAAATATAAATTATTTTCTGAAATCTATTTGATGTGAAAGAAACAAATCCTATAAGTAAGTTAATGAAAAATAGTTAGATGGTGGATAATTGGTTATTGTATTTATTTGTACAGTGAAGTAGGACAAAATTGTAAACTTTGATTCAACACCTGACGGGCTGGGAAAAGGCTCAGAAAAATTGTTTCAATAATTGTGCCTCGACATGTATATAATTTACGGTCTCTGTTCGATCTGTTTTATAAGTAGTAAATAATTTTTTTAAAAATATTATATCTATTTGTATTATATAAATTACATATGTGCATATAAAAGAAGCAACGATAGTATGGATGAATCGATAATATATATATATATTGTTTGATTGTTATAAAAAAAGCTGTTGCTTTCAACTGTACGGACGTAGTTGATGAATGTTTCGAATTTAAAAAAAGGAAACCAACGTTAGGTACGATTGCTGTCTGCACCACGGGAATTAACTGCCAAACAAACTCATTTATCTGAAATAAAGATGATAAATACAAGCATTCAATAATACAGTATTTTTTTAGAAATTCACATTCAATAAATTTAACTCTATATGTAGTAATACAAAATGTTGGAATTTTGGGCTGCACTGGGTAAAGGTAAGTTATTTTGTTTTGAACGATTACACAAGGATCCTTTTAATGTGCATCCGTAAAATTAATTAATTTGAAAATAGAGAGCACACTTATTTTGGGCTCATCTGCCTACAAAAGCTGCAGGTAAGTTAATGATAGACCCTAACTAGCTAGGGTGAATTTGCTTACCGTAAAAACAAATGAACTTGCAATAGAAGTAACAAGATAACAACCCTGAATTTTAGAAACCATGCATTCATTAGATCAGACCCTTAAAAGAGTATCAACTTAGGTTTTAAACCTTCCATCCAGGGATGGATACGTGGGAGGGCCGATGCCCACGAAATAAAAATATATTTAAGTAGTTTTCAAATCTTTCTGTTAAATAAACTAAATAGTCCTTTTTAAAAAAAATATTTTGGATAAATTATATATTTAATCATTCGATTATTATTTGATTATGTTTTAATCGTCTAACTACTATTTCTTTTTAAAATTATATCCAACGTTACGTTATCATCTTCTGCTCATGTATATCTCTACGAACTACAAATTAAATTATATAACTAATATGATATAAATGATGTGAAAAATAAATTTTTTAAACCCCCTATAAATATTATAATAATATTTTTTCTTATCTTAATATAATCACCTTCCTGCAATCACTAGTGCTCAAACTCGTGACCTCTAATGTAACACCCTAGACCTATACGACACACAGTCGACCGATTTAAGGTGCTACACGGAACCACCGAAATGGCTAACCAACTTTAAACTTAATTTCTCATGCTTTAAAATGATATTTACAACCAATCATAAAATAAGCTGAATTATAATAAAAATCATTTCATTGAGGAGCTCCAAAATAAATACTTACACTTCAAAAATATTACAGACCAACTTGACTGAATATACGACTCAACTGAATAATAATGTTTACAAATATACATGCCCAAAAAAAATGCTGAGACGTACATCTGATATGCACTGAATTGGTATATCTATTACTTCCCAACTACTTGATCTTCTAACCTGCCCACGGAAACATCTAGCGCCACACTAACGCTAAAACATACTAACTATATCACTGAAAAGCTCAAGCTATCAAGTCTACTGGTATAAGTTCTACTGCTATATGTTCTACTATCTGTTTTGTTTTACTAGCCCACTCCTTGAGTGTTGGACCTTGCACCAAAGCTAGTCTGCTTTAAAACTGCTTTAGTGAGTATTCTCGAATACTCACTCTCTAAGTTATAGTAGACATCATGGTGCGGTTGAGGGTTATGCATCTCGGAGCTCACACACCCTCTAGTCTACCCTGGATATGGCCCTTGAAAGTCTCTGCATCGGAAACCATACCTCTGACTTACCTACAATTTCTTCTAAAGAGTTTTAAGGCCTCGACAAACATAGTTAGTCAGAAGGGCCTCGACCCTACCATATATATTCAGATTGAATCTATATTGTCGACTCTGTTATATTTTCTAAAGGAACTTGAGTGT